GGCTTCGTGGAGGAGGTGGTGCCAACGGGCCTTGGCCGGTGTGAGCAGTGGGCAGGAGTCGGCTGCCTTGGCTATGACCCAGGAGACCTCGCGTCCTCCCAGCTCTGCAGGGCCAGGGACAGCATCTCCCAGGACAGAACAAGCAGGGAAGTGCCTGACCCAGTCAGACTCATCCAGGCCCGGGGTGTATGAGTCACCTCGGCTCATTAGTCAGGCCTGAGCTCATCTCCAGGTGCCGGCACATTCCCGAGGCCTCGCCCCCCTTCCGCTGGTTCTGAGTCCTGCAGACCCAACCCCAGGCCCAGGGCGCACGGAGGTCCCGTGACGGTGACCAGCACGAATGCTGGGCCCGGCAGACCCATTGTCTGGCAAAGGCACCCAGAGCACTGGCCGCCCCTCATGGCAAAGTCCAGGGTACACGCAAGTATGCACGGAAACCTCAACGCCTGCCGGCCTGCCCACCCCACCTGGAGAATTCCGCTCCCCACCCGCCGTGGTCCTGGTGTGTCCAGACACGTGGCAGGGGTGTGAGGTCAGGGGCAGGGGTGGCCGCAGAGCAAGAGGGGGGAGCCTGGGAGAGGCAGAGTCCATGAGCACGGCACCTGGGCACACAGTCTGGTCAGTGCCAGACGGGTCAAGAGGCCTGAGGCAGGCATGGGAAGCTGGTGGGCCGGGGGAGCCAGAAGCCTCAGGGACTGCTGGTGAGTTATGAGGGGCCACATCTGGCCTCCTGGGTCAATGCCAACCTTAAGCCCCAGAAGAAAGGGGTGGGGAGAAGCCTCCAGGGGCCACCGGCAAGACAGCAGGGGGAGGTGACACTGAGATTTAAAAGGTCTAGAGAGAAAGGGCTGCGATGGAGGTGGATACGGTACCCACACGGAGAACAGAAAGCTGGGCCCAGCCCCCAGCGTGGCTGTCCATCAACACTGAGTCCAGATATTCCAGTGACCAGACCCCACACATGCTCCCGAGACAGCCTGGCTTTTTAAACTGCAGCCGAAAGCAAACGCACAGGCGTCACCTTCCAGAAGCGTGAGCGTGAAGCTGGGGCGTGTGCACCTCAGGAGGCTGCCCTGCTGGGGTGCGGCCCTGGGGCGGCGGGGCTGAGATGCCCCTGCGTCCTGAGAGCACCTGTGTTCACAGCGCCCCCGCCTCCCCTCCCCTCTGCTCAGCCCCCTGCTGTTCAAGAGGCAGCTCCTTCCACCGCGGGGAACTCAGTCCCAGCAGCACGGGCACCCCCCAAGGCCTCCCTCCCAGACCCCTCAACACTTAGAGGAGAAAAGACAGAGAGGAGGCCCCACAATGGGCAAGTGTCTGCGAGGGTGCAGCCACTAGCTCCCAAACCTGCCGGACAAAGCGGCAATCAGCAGCACGTGCAGAGGGCAGACACTTCCGTGGTCTCACGCCAGGGCTGAGCATTCGGTGCTGCTGCCGTCCTGGCTAGGCCTGGCACCCAAAGGGACCTGCGCTCCCCTGCTCAGGGCGTGGCAGGGTTTCCAGGGGCTTCCAGAGCCGGATGTGATGGGGCAGCCCTGCAGGGATCTGGGCTTCTCCATCTCCACGGGAAGTGTGTGAGCGCCCACTGGGACAGCAAGCGCAGCCTCACCACACTGAACCAGCGGCCGCCCTCTCTCAAAATAACTCCAGGCCAGGCGGGGTGGCTCACACCTGTAATGCCAGCACTTTGGGAGACCAAGGCAGGTGGATCACCTGAGGTCAGGAGTTCGAGACCAGCCTGGCCAACATGGTGAAACCCCATCTCCACTAAAAACACAAAAGTTAGCCAGGTGTGGTGGTGCTCACCTGTAATCCCAGCTACTCCGGAGGCTGAGACATGAAAACCGCTTGAACCCAGGAGGTAGAGGTTGCAATGAGCTGAGATTATGCCACTGCACTCCAGCCCAGGCGACAGAGCAAGACTCTGTCTCAAAAAAAGAAAAAAGAGTAACCCAAAAGTCACTCAAACTAAATGTTGTCAATTCACTTATGCCCTGGCCAGGCAACTGCAAAAAGGTGGGGAAGCAGGAGGGGGCGGGGCGGGGGCGGTGCCCTCTAAAAACCAGGACAGTCGCACTCAGCCCCTTCCTGGGTTCTCATCCCACATGAAAGAAGCAACAGGGATGCGGAGATGAGGCCTCACGGTGCTTCAAGCAAGAACGACGGCGTCCTGGCAGCCGGACCAAGTCGAAGTGAAGTCTGCACGCACAAATGTGCCGTTCTGACTTGGGATAAGTGTGGATCCCGTGAACCCCGAGAGCCCTTGGCCCTCTGGCTCCGCTTTGGAAAACAACGTCCCCTGCCAGACCACCCTGTGAGGATGGGGGTCACCACAGGCCCCCAGGGATGTTTCCTTCCTGCTGCCCAAGTCCAGAGGCCGCAGGCCCCGAACCTGCCCGAAGGAGCCGGGAAGGCTGGACGACGAGAGGGACCCTCTGACTCCAGACACAGGATCCCACCTTGTGCAAGTCTGCAGCTCAACTCCACACGTCACAGGGCAGCCCCCAGGAGGCTGCTGTGCAGCGTTCACACAGGAGGGTGTGGGTGAGCGGGGTCATGGCCCCTGCCGTGACGGTTTTCAGAGGCCTTGGGCCACCGGAGAGTGAGGCAGGGGGTCCACCTCCACGCACACCTCTGGGGGGACAGTTGCAGGCACCCCAGGGACGGGGCAGCACCAGGGTGCTCTCCTCCAGGGGAGCCCAGTCTGTGGCTCTGACAGGCATATCCAGGGAGACAGGTGGACGCGGTCGCACTGTACTCCTGGCACACACACATACAGCTGGGGCTCCGACAGGCGTGTCCAGGAAGACGGGCGGACGCGGTCACACTGCTCTCATGGCACACATGGCCGGGGCTCCGATAGGCGTGTCCGGGGAGACGGGCGGACGCGGTCACACTGCACTCACAGCACACATGGCCGGGGCTCTGCGCAGCCTGTGGCTGGTGTGAGGAAGGAGGCAGTGGGCAGTGCTGCCCACCCATCGGCTCACAGGCCCAGCAGCACCAACGGAGAGGCCACGATGCCACAAGTCAGACCCACTCCCTCACCACGAGACTGAGTGACCCCCGAGCCCAGGGCGTCCGTCTGAGAAACCTCCTGCGAACAGCTACAGAGGAAATTTTCAGGTGCAAGACATCTGCAGAAAGTTCTGGAACCCGTGCCTGGACCGGTTTGGACCTTCAGTGGAAACACATGAAAGAGAAGGAAAACTAGCTGGGGAAGGATCCCAGCAGCGGCGGCTCAGGTCTGGGAGAAAGGCGCAGGCGAGGCAGTGCCTGAGCAACGGAGACCGACAGGCAGGAGGCAGGACGGGCTGCGCCACAGGCCTCCCGGGGTCCCCACGCCACTGCATACCTAGGACTGCGGGAGGGTCAGTGGGGGCCAAGGGCTGCCCCGGAAGGGAGCCGGTTTTCAGGAGCTTCCAAGCTGAAGGGCAGAAGCCGCCAGGACCTGGCCCAGCGCTCTGGTCCAGGGTCAGGTCACACCCCAGACCAGGGATTGGAGACTGCAAATTGGAGGCACCACTGGCCACGTGCTTGGGAGTTCTCCACTGGCACAGGGGGGCCGCGGGGGCCTCGAGGAAGCGCCTTGGCACTGTGGGAGGTGACTCCATGCAGGCTCAGGCACGGCCGCCTTGGGGGTCGTCCTCCGTGGGGCACCTTGGGGCAGGTGTCCTTATCCCGGGAACCCTCGCCCGGAGACCCCCAGCTAACCCGCAGCAGAGCTGCACTCCAGGCGTGTTTACCTGCGGCCACACACCTCCCCGTGTGGCTCCCCGCCCTGCAGAGAGCGCCTTCCACTGCTCCCTGGTGGAGCCCTGAGCCCGCCTGTGCCGTGGGCCTGCCAGCACCACCAGGGCCCACCACAGAGGCACAGGAAGCCTGGATTTGCTCCTGAATTGCTGTGACTGCCACCCCCTCCACCTGAGAAGGTGCCCCTATGTCGCTATGGATGGCAGACCGGGCACTGCGGGAGCTGGGGCAGCCTGCCACGGTCCCGACACGTGGCCTCCTTAAGCCCTGCACTCCCTGCCCTCCCCCCAGCACCAGCGCCTGGGACCCTCTGCAGGGACTGTTTCCACCAGGGCCCAGCAGCACTACCCAGCACCCTGGCCCGGCTTCATGTGCAGGACCTGCTGGCAGGACAGGCCCCTGTCTGTGCATCAGAATTCGCTGGGAGGCAGCTGCTCCTACAGCCTCAGATTCCAAATCCAAATGCCCAACAGGAGGGCCCTGGGTGAGGAGCTGAGCGCGTCCAGCCTCTGTCCCCAGGACACTGCAGAATCCTGGTCCAAGAGGGTCTGAAACTGGCTGGTAAGGGACCCACCGCAGAACCACAGAGTCTGCAGGACGGAACTGCCTCCACCCGGCATGAGCAATACACTCAGGAGAAAACCAAGCTATCCTCCAAACGCGGGGCTCCGGCCGGCCTCCTGTTAACATGTGACTCCAGCCTGAGGTACCTAATTCAATACACTCAGGAGAAAACCAAGCTATCCTTCAAACGCGGGGCTCTGGCCGGCCTCCTGTTAATATGTGACTCCAGCCTGAGGTACCTAATTCAGCATTAACTGGAGTCACTCAATGGCCACGAGCCCCCTGGTTCCGCAGTAACTCAGATGGGGGTGGAGACAACCTGGGCTCACCCTGAGGAGGCTGGGATTCAAGAGAGGCCGATCTCCAGATCCACTCACATGACCCTCGGAGCCGGGCCCTCCGGAAGGCGGGAGGCGGGAGGCGGAAGGCGGGCACCGGCTGTGTGTGGACACAGCTTTGGGAGGGTCCTGCTGCCGCCCGAGGTGCTTGTGGGGCTCCACACCTTTCTCTCGGCAAATAACTGAACGCAGCAGCAAGGAAAGGGAAGGCGGTGGAAGCTCGGGGAACGTACCCCAGCCCAGCAAGGGCAGCTGGCTGACACTCAGGGGCTGCACCAGCCAACACTTGGGACCAGACCGGCCAACACTCGGGAACTGGACCAGCTAACCCTCAGGAACCATGTCACCATGGAACGTAAGCCACGGTTTCCAACTCCCCTAAGCTCCAGGACACCATTTCCAAGCTCAATTTGCCCTATGGGGAAGGAGAAGTGGTCAAAAGTGAGGACATTAAGACCACTTCGGCCGGGTGTGGTGGCTCACACCTGCAACCCCAGCATTTTGGGAGGCCAAGGCGGGCGGATCACTTGAGGTCAGGAGTTTGAGACCAGCCCGACCAACACGGAGAAACCCCGTCTCTACTAAAACTACAAAAAATTAGCCGGGCGTGGTGCCGCATGCCTATAATCCCAGCTACTCAGAAGGCTGAGGCAGGAGAATCTCTTGAACCCAGGAGGCGGAGGTTGTAGTGACCAGAGATCACGCCACTGCACTGCAGCCTGGGCAACAACAGTGAAACTCCATCGCAAAAAAAAAAAAAAAAAAGCCACTTGGACCTTCCTGAAACCCGCCATCAGGTGGTCTCCCGAAAAACAGACCCCTCTACCTAGGAGGCCCACAGCCCCGCCTCACCCAGTGGCCTAACCTGGGGCTGCCACCTCCCCTTTCCTTGGCAGGCTGCTGGGCGGAGTCCCCATTTTTCACCCCCCCGTTTTCCCAGACCAACAGCTGGGAGAGCCTGTGCCGCCCACTGTGCCCTGAGATCTGCATAGCACAGCAACTCACAGATGCTTTTTGCTGTCCTGCCACAGCACAAGGTGCGTCAGGCCAGACAGCCACGCACAGGCCCCGGCTCCTGGCTTCTGCCATCTTTTCTGTTCCTGCAACTCCACCCTGGAGCCTCCCACTCCTTCAAAAGCTGCAGGAAGAGGTGAGACCCCTCAGTGCCCACAGGCAAGGTCCCGCCATTGCACTCCAAATGCCTGCACCAAGCCTGGGGCCCTCCTGCCCCTCTACAGACAGAGTAAGGGGATGTGCCAGGGTCCCTAAGCCAAGTCCAGGTGCTCAGGCTTTGCTGAGATTAAACCTCACAGTGAGCCTGTGTGTGCACATGTGTGTGTGCAGGCCCGTGTGTGCCTGCATGTGTGTGTGTGAGCCCATATGTGTGAGCCATGTGTGTATGTGAACTTGTGTGTGTGCCTGCGTGTGTGTGTTAGCCCGTGTGTGCGGGAGCCGTATGTGTATGTGAACCTGTGTGAGCCTGTGTGTGCCTGTATGTGTGTGTGTGAGCCCATGTGTGTGTGAGCCATGTGTGTATAAGCCTGTGTGTGTGTGAGCCTGTGTCTGCATGTGTGTGTGTGTGAGCCTGTGTGTGAGAGCCTGTGCATGTGAGCTGTGTGTATGTGAACGTGTGTGTGAGCCTATGTGTGAGCCTGTGTGTGCCTGCACATGTGTGTGAATCTGTATGTGAACCTGTGTGTGTGAGCCTGTGTGAGAGCCTGTGTGTGCCTGCATGTGTGTGTGTGTGAGCATGTGTCAGCTGTGTGTATGTGAACTTGTGTGCGTGTGAGTTGAGTGTATGTGAACCTGTGTGTGTGTGAGAGCCATGTGTGCATATCAGCCTGGGAGAGTGTCTGTGTGAGTGTGTTGGCATGGAATGGGGTGAAGATGGCACCACACCACAGGCAGGAATGGAAGGTTGCAAGCTGAGAGGCCACACATATGACACAGGTCATGGTCACGGTGCTCAGGAATTCCAGAGGTTCAGCTGGCCTTGGGGGACCCAGGCTGTGTCCTGTCACAGGGCCCTGAGCCTCAGGTGCTGAGGTGTTCAGAGGTTCTCTCCACTCGGTGGTCCACCTGGCTGCCTAATGCCTGGAAGGTGGCAGGAATGAGGGTCTCTGTGCCAGGCAGGCATGGCAGGTACCTGGCCAACGCTGAAACAGTGTGAGCTTCCTTCCTGGCAACCTGCCGGCCACCCGACCGGCTCCAAGCCTTCCAGGCCTGCAGGCAAGAGAAGGGGACTACAGGAGCGAGCAGTTTAAAAAATGGAAGGCCGAGGTTTTCCAATCTAATTAACAGCATGACAAGCCAGGACCGGCTGCTGACCCGCATGGAGCCTTGCACAGCCAGAAACGCAGTGTCCTGCTCTGCTCCTGAGACACTGGGGCTGTCACTACAGCACAGCCCCAGACACTTCCACACGGGCAGACTCTGGCTCTCCAGGCACGGCGGCGCCCTCTCCTCCCCTTCCCAGCTCTCCTGAGGCCTGTGGTTCTGGAATTCTCTGCTCTGTGCAAGCATGACTGCGGCCCTCCTCCCGCGTCCAGCCGCACCAGGCCCTGGGATCCCAGACGGGCTTCCCCTTCACAAGGGGCTCCAAGCAAGCACCTATGGGGGTGGGGGCAGCAAAGCCGTCTGGCCGAGGTCCCTTCTCTAGCATGCCTGTCTGTCCGTCTGTCCTTGAGGAGCCTTAAGAGTGCAGGGCGGGACAGGCAGGCACCAGCTGACACAGTACCGGGCAGGGACCAGTGCAGGAGCTCGAGGCAGGGCTGGGTGGGGTGGGGGTGGCCAGAGTCTCCTGGCTGGCAGCAGATGCGGGTGAGTGGCACAGACTGTCCTTATGCCCTCCTGGGAGACAGGCAGGAATCCATGACCAGGACAGACAGAGTCAGGACTGGGAGAGGCAGAGCAGGTGCCTGAGCTTGGCCATGCACAGCTTCCAGCAAGGCTGGGTCATCCACGGCTCCCCGAGGTTCCGCGCCACCGCTCGCCGCACCCCAGCACAGCCGAGAGCTGTGGTTTCTCCTCCCGTGGAGTCCCGCGTGGCTACCCACTCCAGGTCCAGCCCGAGGGCACCGCCCTCTCCAGGCTGCCTTCCCCACACACGCCACACCTCCAGCCCCAGAAGGTTCTGAGGAGGGGAGGAGCTGGGGCCCCCACTCGCCTTCCTGTTGCCAGGATACAGGCCCAGGAAAAAATGCCACAGCGCTGGATTAATGTCTAGACAGCGTGACCTTTCCCCTGGTTCTCTAGATATAATTGGGACCCAAATTGTCCGGTGTCATGAGCTGACAGCAGGGATGAAGGAGGGGGCTGTTCTCGGTGCCCCAAGGGGACTCTGGGAGAGGGAGAGGGCCGCCCACTACCTGCGTGGGGGCTGCATGGGGACAAGCCAGGGTCACCCACAAAGGCGCTTTCTGTGGAGCGGACGTCACCTCTTCCATCAGCGATGACACAGCTCTGAGATCTCAGTGTCCTCGCAATGGCTCCCATTAACTCCCTGCTGCCCGTCCTGCCAGGCTGGTGCCACGAGACCCTCAGGGCTGGGCCATGGGACAGGTGCCCATCCTGCCAGCCTGGTGCCACGAGACCCTCGGGGCTGGGCCATAGGACAGGTGCCCGTCCTGCCAGCCTGGTGCCATGAGACCCTTGGGGCTGGGCCATGCGACAGGTGCCCGTCCTGCCAGGCTGGTGCCACGAGACCCTCGGGGCTGGGCCGTGGGACAGGTGCCTGCCCAGCCCTGCAAACACATCCAGCAGGCGTCGAGGGCTGCCAGGCACAGAGACTCCTACTGCCAGCAGCGCACAGCGCCAGCTGCGACAGCAACGCCTCTGCCAGGAGACACAAAGGAGACCAGCCCTGACGCTCCTGTCCCAGGGGGGCTGCTGCACACTCAGGCAGAATGAGGGGTCCTGAGGGGGACCCTCGGCCTACCCACGGCTCCCGGGGCAGGTGACTGGTCTGGTCCTGGTGTTTATCTCAACCTCGTTGTTCAGAAGCTGCTTTTTATTATTTGTGACCATAAAAGGATGTAAACAAATTTGTTTTGAGTCAAAACTACCTGGGTCCACCGGGCAACAGAGCAGGGACGCAGCCTCAATGTGGAATCAACAAGCCAAGGTTGTGAGAAGATTCTCAGGAGTGGGGTTCAGGGAGGGAGAACTGAGGGCTGGGGTTTCGGGGGGCATTTTACTTTTTATTCCAGGCAGTGCTATATTGGCTGGGATCTCAAATGCTGAATAATGCTCCCGTTGGACTTCAGTAATTTTAAAAAATAGAACTGTTTAAAAATCATGAACATTTCACAATGCAACCAAGTGGCCCCAGGTCCTCCCCTAAGCATGGTGCCCACCCGTGGCTTTGAGGAGGGTCCTTCAGCCCCAGCCAGGCCCTCTGGCATTTACACCCAAAACACCCAATAAATCTGCTGAGAGAAACACCGTCCCTGGCGGTAAATAAAGTCCAGGCCACTCTGCAGCCCAGCTCCCACCCCAGGGCCCGAACAGGGATGGGCGGCCTCAGAGAGCACCCAGTGGCCCCAGGTAGCCGGACCTGAGCCTTCGGAGCCAGCCTGGCCTTGGCAATCCTGCAAGCACGTCACCACACACGGCATCACGTGCCACCACACACGGCATCGAGTGTCACCACACATGGCATCACATCACTACACGGCATCATATCACTACACAGAATTACATGTCACTACACACGGCATCGCGTGTCACCACACATGGCATCACGTGTCACCACACACAGCATCGAGTGTCAACACACACGGCATCATGTCACTACACGGCATCATATCACTACACAGAATTACATGTCACTACACACGGCATCGAGTGTCACCACACATGGCATCACGTGTCACCACACACGGCATCGAGCGTCAACACACACGGCATCATGTCACTACACGGCATCGTATCACTACACAGAACTACATGTCACTACACATGGCATCGCGTGTCACCACACATGGCATCACATCACTACACGGCATCGTATCACTACACAGAATTACATGTCACTACACACAGCATCACGTGTCACCGACACACGGCATCACGTCACTACACAGCATCGTATCACTACACAGAATTACATGTCACTACACACGGCATCGCGTGTCAGGGCCCAGCCCCAGAGCCTCTGGCCAGGGCTGGCCAATCTCTGCTCAGCCCTTTGGCATCCCTGACCTGCCACTGACACTGGGGACCTGGGTCCTCTCATCTGTCCTTTACTGAAGAAAGGGAAGAGCAGACCTGCAGCCCCGATGCCCCCCAGACTGAGGCAGTGAAGACTATGGCACCGTCTGCCCCGTGGAGGGGCTGCTTCTCCATCTCCCTGCCTGCCTGCCGTCCGGCGGGCCTGGCTGGTTCCACATGACAGAAGCTCCTCTGGAGGATGTGTTGGTCATCACGCCTTGCAGGGCTGCAGGCACAGGGGGTCAGGGGTGGGAGGGACCCGGGAAACTGACATGAAAGCAGAGACAGCCTCGGAGGCGGCTGGGAGGCCCCTGAAGAGGTGCCGCTTCCCTGAGACCCCAGGAAGAGACGTGAGCCAACGAGGGCGGGCTGTGGACACAGTGGGGTCAGGAGGTGCACAAGGCGGGCTGTGCAGAGCAGGTGAGGACGGCCAGTGAGTGTCCTGAGGCTCAGCGAGGAGGCAGCCTCTGTCTTCACTGCAGCAGACAAGCGACCGGGCAAGAGTGGCTCCAGAGCCCGCCCGGGAATTCGTCTAAACACCCAGCAGTTGTTCACAGGCCACCAGCTCCTGCCACAAAGCAAGGGAAACCACCAAGAAGGGATGGCTACCTTGATGTGAAAAGAATGAGCCCAGCACTGAGCTGCCCTGCCAGAGACATCCTTCCCTAGCTTGGGGACCCTCAGCAATGCTGGTGGGCAGGCATGGGAAGGGCACACCCACCCCACCACTTCAGCAGCTGGGGGTTGGGATGCAGACCCCTCTGTCCCCACCAGGGATGAGCACCCAGCCAGCTCCGCTCAGAGCTGTCCTCGATCTGCAGATCAGTCCACAAAGAGCTCGGAGTCGGAGCCGGCTCCCTGGAAGGGAAGGGTCTTGTCACTGCACATCTAGACAGCAAGCCCTGGCCGTCCAGCCCCACGCCAGGTGCCCCCACTCACAGCCAGCGCTCCAGGAGCGGCACGTGTTAACGAACAGGCACCTGCCCTTCTCGACAGCAGGACTGGCCATGCCAAGGCCACCTCCCGGGAAAGATAGGTCTGGGGTGCGAGGAGAGGCAGGAGACGCAGAGTGCCACCAGCTGCACTGTGCGTGGGGCCTGGGGAAGGAGGCTGGAGGCCAGAACCCCCTTCTCTCTTCCCTACAATGCAATTCTCCCCACCCTTAGCGTTTTCTACCGAGCAGCACCTCCTTTGCCGCTTCATGGGAGTGGCACCCAGGACGGAGGGCCCAGCTCTGCCCAGGCCACAGTGGCCACAACAAGGGATGCAGAGGATTTGGGCCAAACCACATCCCCCAACAAAGAGTGGTCACACTTCTGTCTGTTGTTATTAACAGGCCTGGTGCGCAGGTCCTGGGTGTGCTGAAAAGCCCGTCAGGGAACTGGAGGGAGCCGAAGTTGGCACACAGAACACCAGACAGACCGCGGGCCTGGAAACGGCACGGAGAGGGCAGCTGGGCTGGGCAGGGCAGGGGGCCCCGTGAGAGCCTCGCGTCGGAACAGCACACCTGAGGACGCTGAGCAAGTCACAGACCACAGGACAGGGAACCTGCAGGTAAAACGGCCGCAAGGCCCAGGGAAGCTCAGGGCTCCCTGCACAGCAGGCAGGCATGGCCAGGGCCCAATCCAGAGACTACAGTGGAACAGCCCACAACACAGAGAAGCAAGTGCAGGAAGGAGGTGAGACAAGCTGGAGCCATTCGTACCCATTAAGAGGGAAAGAATCCCACGAGGCCCTGACAAGCCAGGAGGTGAGTCCACGTGAAATACAAAAACCAGCAGGGTCTGGCAGCGAGGGGAGGAGCTGCTCCGGGGGAATCTGGGCGGGCTCTCTGGGATCCCAGCACCACCTTTGGAAAGATCATTCCCCAAAACACACGTTATCTAGACACCGACCCACCATGACCAAAAGCAACCAAGAACACCAACACTCCGAAAAGCCCTTTAACAAAACTAACTTAGGGACCTAGAATTATTTCTGCTGAAAACAGAAGGGCAAAGATCAAATTAGCTGCTTGCAAATATCTGAAAACTCACGGAGCAAGAAAACCTGACACCAAAAGCACCATCACCCTCCCGAGAGCAAGACCAGCTTGCAATACAGACGAGGGAATGCAGGACGAGGGAACGGAAGAGTTGTCAGGGGCAGGGGCTGGGGCTGGGGCTAAAAGACCCGGCCAAAGTGAGCTGTGCTGCTTCTAGTCAAGAGGGAGCGTAGAGGCTGCACCTCTGGCGTTCAACTAGAAACCGTGTGCTGGTCAGCATGCAGCTCCAATCTGACTGGTATTCAGCACCTGCTGGGCCTAAGCTGGCACATAAAAGAAGCCGGGTGCTGGGTCACAGAGGACAGACCGCAGTCCAGGAGAGGTGCTGCCCTCCGAGGAATCTAAGAGATGCCGGGTGACCAGGTCACAGAGGATGGACTGAGGTCCAGGAGAGGTGCCGCCCTCAGAGGATCCTACGATATGCCAGGTGACCAGGTCACAGAGGATGGACTGAGGTCCAGGAGAGGCGCCGCCCTCAGAGTCAACACCTAAGGGCCTGGATTTCTTAATCTGATCAAACACTGCCCTGCCCTGGCCACCCCCACACCAGTGCAGAGCCTCACAGTCCCCACACTGCCTCTAGTTCACAAAGGACACCAGGCATGGGGAGACTGTGCCCTCGCCACCCCCATACCAGTGCAGAGCCTCATGGTCCCCTCCCCACACTGCCCCCAGTTCACAAAGGCCACTGGGCATGGCAAGACTGTGCGTGCTGCCCCAGTCTCCTGGCCAGAAAGTGGGCTGCAGGCCAGAGATCCAGGCTGGCCAGCCCGGCTGCTCCTGACCGAGATGGACCTCAGAGAAGGTCCTCATTCCCCAAGAACAGGTTCACAAAAGCTGGGCCGAGGGAGCCACAGTCCAGCTGCCGACGAAAGGCACGATTCAAAGGTCTCACGGGCCCCACGATGAGGGCTGGGGTGGCCATGTTCCCCTCAGCTGGGCCGGGGTCACAGAGGCACACCTGCCCCGTGTTGCTGGGCAGTCCGGATAACGGAAGGGGTCTGGCTGTATGTTCTGGATAACTGAAAGGCCCGGTGAGGCATTCCAGATAGCTGAGGGCCCACACAGCGTTCTGGATAAGCGGGGGCTCACACTCTCCCGGCCACCGGCAAGCACCCTCAGGGCTGAGGGCCTGCTTGGCATGCACCTGGTCAGCTTTTCTTTATGAAAACCCCCAACACACCATGCCCGCCTGGCTGTGTGAGCCCCACCCAGGGCTCCACCCGGCATGGGTTCTCCCCTCGGCTGCAGCACCAGGCACTGGGCTGGACGACGCTTTCCAGGACTGCTTGTAGAGCTCACGCCTCTCTGAAGGCCAGGCAAGGTGTGAACCCCAGGCCCCCAGCCGGGGTCTGATCAACGGCACCACCCGCACTTTCCTGTCCGGGGCCTGCCCGGTCTGCCTGCCACACCCCTGCCCTCGACTCCACACCGCGCTGGCTCCCACCTGCATCCATCTTCCGGAAGGGGGGCTCCATTCGCAGCCCTGAGCTGCCACCCCTGCGCGTGGTCCTGCCCCTCCTCCTGCCCCACCCATGGCAGCCGGCCCTGAGCCCCGAGCCCCAGGTGTCCAGCTCCTGGCTGCTGCCCCGGGCCTGTTGGGAGGTCATCCTGGGGACCTGATGACCAGAGGTTCCACTGACAATCAGGAGATTCCGAAGGCCGAGGACTCATCTGTAAGTCCCCACAGAGCCCACAGCCTGGGGTGGCCCTGGGTGTGCAGGAAGTGCCCACATTCTGACCCCCAGCAGCCTAGAGGGTCCTGCTGAGGCTCAGAACACATCCAAG